AGCCAATTCCAGCGCTTAAAGAAGGTGGTAAAATTTTGATCACAAATTTGGAAAAAGCTCAGAAACTTGCTAAGCAATTCGAGAGTTCCCATAATTTCAGTTTGGGTCTTACTAGTCCTATTGAGAATCAGGTTGCTCGGGATTATCTGAATATTTTCTCTCGGGAAAATATTTTTGATGATTCCTGGGGGACTGATTTGGACGGAGTAAGGTCTATAACTAAAAAGTTTCAAATGAAGCTCCAGATGATGATGGAATTTTCTATATCCTCATCAAAAATCTCCCAGATAGTACCTTGTCTTTCTTGGTAAAATTGTTTAACAGATGTTTCCATTTGGCATACTTTCCTGATAAATGGAAACATGTAAAAGTTGTTCCAATTTTGAAGTCGGATAAAAATCCATCTGAAGCTTTTAGATATCGTCCAATAAGTTTTCTCTCTTAAATAATTAAACTTTTTGAAAAGATAATTTTAAATAGAATGATGCTTCACATCAATATGAACACAACGTTTGCAGATGAGCAGTTTGGATTTCGCCATGGGCATTCAACTACTCATCAATTCTGAAAAATTACCAATTTAATTCGTTCAAACAAATCTGAAGGCTGCCCAACTTGAGTTTCTCTGCTAGACATAGAAAAAAACATTCGATAGTGTTTGGCATGATTGCTAAATTGAAGTAGTTTAATTTTTCTACTCTATATTATGAAATCAGTTCAAAATTATTTAACTGACAGAGCTCTGCAGGTAAATTATCAAAATTCCAAATCTAATCGACTACCTGCTAAAGCAAGAGTTCCTCAGAGTAGCATTCTTGGACCTATATTGTACAACATTTTCTCTTCGGATCTTTGTTACAGCCCATATTTGAAAATGATGCGCATTGTATTTCTGGAGTTGTTGCACAAAAAGTGGGGAAACTTCTCCCGAACACTTGTTCATTTCTTACAACTCCAAAATTTCTACCGAAGTTTTCATCTCTCTCTAATTTTCTCAACTGCGCCCAATTGAAAATGTCTGCTCAAATCCTAACACAAAGATCTACTCCACTTGCTTGGTCACAAAACAAAAAAGTGGTCGAACAGACATACAAAGCATAGCATAGGTCAACCAATACATTTTGCAGAAAATATCGTGTGTTGCCGTGAAAAAACTATTGGGATTAGTGGTTTTTCCCACACATCAAAATTTGCAAAACATGCATCACATTATAAACCTAGCCACATCCATACAATTTCAGAGGGTATGAAGGTATATTAGTCCAACATCTACTTAAGAAGGTACAGGAAACTCATACTACCTTCATAAATGTCTCGGGAGGGAACATTTGTGTTACTAGGGAGTGAAATATATTTAGGAATCTCTATTCGGCAATATAAAGTAAAGATTATGGGAAAATGGAAACACAATTAAATAAATCCAAAAGAAAAGATCTCAGCAAAATTATCTGCAATATTCCTGTCGTTCCTTAATTTCGAAGCTGTTCCATGCATCATTCTTGCCACTATTAACCATTTCATTCGAGCAGTTAAAATGACGTTTACTACCACTCGAACTTTTAAATAAAACATCATTTTGAGATTTTTTCTTCTAGAACCACGAGAAAAGTAGCCAACATTTGTGCGTTTCATAAAAAAATAGAAGTAAGTTGGTCCAATTTTGTGAAATCGCTGGAAGAAAGTCACGCCAAAACTGCTTGACAAAGTGGTCAATTCTCCAGCACGCGTATTCTGTTTACACCGAAGCATTGAGGCCATTACCACTCTTCCGCCTGCGTTACTTAATTAGAAGCTAACTGCAGGATTCGCAACAGGAGATACAGGAGTACACGGAGATGAGAAACTACCCAAAATTAAGTACTTTTCCCTCATTTAACACCAGCAAAAAATACTTACTCTTAAATATATTCTACCCAAAATTAAGATTAGTTCACGCACATTTGAGAACATGCAATTTACTCAGAAGTAACTTATTGGGCTGAAATATATCGTTGGATCGAATCGCTCGTTTCTTTTTTGACAACAATAATGAGTGCAAGTGAGAGGCTAAACTCAAAATAAAGTAAAAAGAACTCAAATTTAGGGTAGTATTTTTTCTCCGTCTAATAAAAATAGCCATAAAAGAGATCTTAACGACGTGTTCGGGGTATCATCCAAACCATTTGTGGGATAATTTACCCATCCGGGATACAGTTCGTTTATGGTATTTGTTTATAAGGGGCTGATGCCCTGTTTACATTATGTTAGTTAACTTTTTTCTAGCAGCTAGCTCATTAGCGCTAGTGAAATAGCATAAGTGTAAACACAACCACAACCACACCGAAGGGGTTCGAAACTGAACTCTCAAGCAGTGATGTCACATATTTTCGAATTTAAATCTTTATTTTCATCACAAAAACAAAACTTTTTAATCTGTATCTGACTGACATACATCTGTAAAAAAAATCTGTAAAATTTCCGTGCTATGGTCTCTGTGCGAATATACGTAAACCTTCATTGAGCAAATTCATAGTTCAGAACGAGTTTGTTCTTTGTGTTAGAATCATGAAAAATGACTAAAATTGCTTTCTAAAGAATTTGTCTATTTTAAAAACCTTGAAATCCTACACACGCTATTTAGAGGCTACTCAGTGACTGGGTGGATCGCACTCATTGTTGCATGCTGTATGGAGTTGTCAAAAAATGAGTAAACTGGTTTTGCTCTGATGAGGTGAATCCACCCAGATTCTGGGTTAATGGTTCTGATATCAATTTTTCATAAGTTCAAAATGACGCACTATGAATATGTGAACAGGCGATTTTTGTGCAGTGAGTCTAAAAATAGTTTTTAGAAGTGAAGTAGTTAAAATGAAGTGAAGTGAAGTAGTTAAAATGACCTGGACGGCGATAGCTATCAGCTAGTTGGTGAGGTGTACAACTCTAACAAATAGTTCGTTGGTATCAATAAATATAGAATTGTCATTTTCATCATATTTTTTTAATATTCCTCCTGGAAGAAAAAAATTATGTATAAAGCATTCATGGGGTATTCATTCGTTTTAATCGAAATGGGTAAGGTTTACTCATTTGAAAAATGTCATCATCTGTTAGGTTTCTCCATAGGCACGTTTACTCAAATTTGAGTAAAAGCATGTTTACCCATTTTTGGCTAACTTCCCTTTTGGCTAGACTGAGTGATTTTCGACTAAAAAATGAGTAGCCTCAAAATAGCGTGTAATCTTGATGTGTTTTGTATCTCTTCTACAGTCTGAAAATACAAAACATTAAGTACCAGTTATGAGAGACAAGGCTTGCCAACGCAAATCAACAACACGGTTATGTTAGTTTGCGTGAGCGTGCCTTGAGTTCCTTGAAATCATCGAAAGAAGTCATTGTTATAAAGGCTGTTACGCCTTAATTCCAGCTCTATCTAGAAATTAAAAGGGAAACTAATATCCCTTCTAACGAGAAATCAGAACATCTGAACAGCAGAAGTCCATTCGAAAGATGTCAAGTCCAGTCGAAGCTAAAATAATAATATTTATTTAATGAAAAATATGATTTGGGTTTGATGCTCAGATTGAATTCAAGCTTTAAAGGAAAAAAAATATTTGTCGTCATCATTAAATATAAAAAAATGTGTATAATACATTCCCTTTATTTGAAAAATCTGAAAAATCTGTATATTTTTGAAAAATCTGTAATCTGTAAATACAGATATCTGTATCAAAATATTGAAAAAAAATCGGTATGATTACAGATAAATTTGTATATGTGGCATCACTGCGCTCAGGTGGTCGAACAGACATATAAAATACAAAAAATTACCCTCATTCTGAAATGCAGGCTAAAAAACTGTTTTATATACAGAATTCCCAAGACAGGAACAATGTGAAACCACTGAGATATGTTTCAAAATAATTAAGGCTGGTAAGTTACTGTAGTAACTGGAGCACCTAGTTTAGAACGAATTGTAATTTATTTTGAATGTGAAACAAATAAAGAGTTAAAAAAATTACCCTAACAATAAAAAAAAACGATCACGCTCGCAGTTACCAGAAATGGCTTGAACTAGTTCATTCTAGTAGATGAACTTATTCAGTCTACTAAATCAATAAGCAGTATTACCAAGGAAAATAAATAGTTTGGTTCTATATACGTAGCTTTTTTTCTAACTCGTTTCGAAAAATTTCTCATTTTTTAATGCAAACGTGACAATCACACTCTATATGCTTAGGGAAGTCGAGAAATTTCACACGAAAAATCCCTAGACCAGACCAGGATTCAAACCCAGCCTGCTCCAGCATGGTCTTGCTTTGTAGCTGCGCTAAGAGAGGCTTATAAACTATTTGCTCATTAAAAAGTACCTTGTATGACATTTTGACATTTTTCAAAAATTAAAAATATCACAAATATGAATGATCTTACATAACAAACAATGGAACTGAATTGCCGGAAAATTAGAGAAGTGTAAGCCTGAATTGTTTTATTTGGAACTTGGGCTGCTCACATGTCACAACACCGTTTAAAATTTCTCAATAACCTTAAAATCGATGCATTGACCTATATACTTGCTTTTACAACTGAAAATAAGCTTTTTTTTGCTGACATCATATTCACTGCCCCACAAAAGCATAACAATCCCATGTGAAATTCTGCGAGAAATGAGCTATTCATTTGAATAGATTGTAAACTGACATCACTTTAAACTGTGCACTAAAAGTTCCATATTTTGTTCAGAAAATATCCGGAAATATACAAAAACTAAGTTCTCCCATCCATAAGAGCGAACGTAGAAATACATTTTCAGCAGCTTTGTTCTCGGCTTGCTGTCTTTTCTGATGGGACTGAAATGCTTTTATGGGAAGTACAGCTTTTGATGGAATTAAACCTACCTTTAGTGGATCAGTGAGTTATTTTTTCCGGGCTTATCAATTGAAATGTTTCATTCTCCATACCAAATGATTAAACCCAAGACCGATTTTGATTTTAATTTTCTCTCGCTCTCTTCCTCTCTCCAGGTTCGGTCGCCGGTCCGGCTGTTCGACGTCGTCGCGCAAATCCAACGGCCGTCGCTGGTCGTTCGTGTTCGATCCGGCCGGCCGGCTCTGCTACTACTGGTCCATGGTGGTTTCGATGGCATTCCTGTACAACTTCTGGGTCATCATCTACCGGTTTGCCTTCCAGGAGATCAACGGCGAATCGATCGTGCTGTGGTTTTGTCTGGACTACTTCTCGGATTTTTTATACCTCGTAGATATTCTGTTCCACTTCCGTACGGGTTACCTCGAGGACGGCGTGCTGCAAACCGACTCGACCAAGCTCCGGCAGCACTACATGAACTCGACGACGTTCTACATAGACTGCCTTTGTTTATTGCCGTTAGATTTTTTATACTTATCGATAGGATTCAACTCGATACTGAGATCGTTTAGGCTAGTCAAGATTTATCGATTCTGGGCCTTCATGGATCGCACCGAGCGGCACACGAACTACCCGAACCTGTTCCGTTCGACCTCACTGATACACTATCTGTTAGTTATATTTCACTGGAACGGTTGTTTATATCACATAATCTATAAGAATAACGGTTTCGGCTCGAAGAACTGGGTGTTTCACGATTCGGAATCGGCGGACGTGGTGAAGCAGTATCTGCAGAGCTACTACTGGTGCACACTGGCACTGACCACGATCGGTGACCTGCCGCGGCCTCGCTCCAAGGCGGAGTACGTGTTTGTGATAGCGCAGCTGCTCTTTGGCCTGATGCTGTTTGCGACGGTTCTCGGCCATGTGGCCAACATCGTCACCTCGGTCAGTGCTGCCCGCAAGGAGTTCCAAGGTAAGTCGTTAAATCTATGAACCTTACTATCTCTATTGCTATGAACCATCCGATGTGAGCCGCGTGGTGTGGATGTGCGATGCGGTGTCCTTTCGAGTCATTTACCATTTAGCTTCTCCGTTGGTTGGTCCATTCAATTGTGAAAAATCGATGCATTCCCGGCGAGATGACGATAGTTATGGGGCACGTATACACATCTACTTCGTGGTCTTTCCGGTGCTTTCAACAGTCAGAGCGCGGTGGTACGCAACGACCGATTGTGTGTATGTGGACTCATAAAATTGAATGGAAGCCATTAGCATTGGGGATGAGGAAGCGTGACTCGGTTCAATCGGGAAACCCGACGGAATTGCTTTCCCAATTCTGATATCCATTTTTCTCCAATTCTACGACCCATAATGAAAAGTTAAGCAATTCACATTTCAACAAACCCTTATCTCTTCATTTTTATTAAGCGTTCAAGGCCGGGTTAAAGTGGCCTCTGCTCTGCTGGAACCATTCCCATGTGATGGAGATGAACTTTTCATCCGAAAACGTACCATCCTCTGAAACCGGTTCAAAGGTACACATCCTTCGTCAATTGGAAAACTCACTCAATTCGCTTTTTTGGCTCTCTCTTTCTCTTTTCTTCGTCAGATTGGCATTACTAGTCGAACCATTTCCAGCCGGTCAGTCAATCGGTCTGGGGCGGCATACATTTGAATAAAACAATAAAATGAAAAGTTATATCGAAAAGCCATCAGCGATTTGTGCCATTCCGGTCGTCTGTCTTGGGATATCCGACTGTCAGACGCGTGTGTCATTCCCCAGAACAGAGCCGGTCAAGGGATTGAGAGCCATTTGACGGGAGGTTTAAAAGAGGGTAAGCGGTGAAGATTTTCAGTTGAACATTGAGCTACGCTGGTCGGGGAAACTGGCATTGAACATAACACAGGACGTTATGTTCTTTAAACATTATTATAAAAATCATAAGTGGATAAGCTATGAACCTTTGAAAATTTATCGATAATTCGATAGCAGTAGTTAATAAAAACATAGGAATTTTGAGAAGTCTATACAAGTTTGAGCCTCACGTGCGTAATACGGATATAGAGGACTGAATTAAAGATTTGATTTAAAATTGAACTTTAAAGCTTATTTGGAAGATGCCTTGAATTAGTAGTATGTTTTCTGCCTGACTCGACATTCAGGTTCATGAGCATTTCTGATGTTGCTGAAAATTACGATAGCATCAGATTGCTAGTGTAATAAGATGCTTTGGACAGAAGGGTGAACTAAGAGGTGAACGTTTAAGCTTTTTCAAATTTATGTCGCTGTGAATCAAATGAAAAGTGTTGGGGGAGTTTGTATCTGAAACTGCAATCAGTTCGTTTTTGTTTGCTAGTCTGATTAAGATGTAATACTTAATTATCTTAAATATTACTCGTCTAGCTCAATCCTTTGTAGGGGCAAGCAGTAAGAAACACCATGGCTGTTACTTAGAATTTTAAATCTTCTAGGACCAGTGATCTGAATACAAGTCTGACAAACATCAAATGCAATTTTACAAAGCTTTTTAAAATTGAATTATACCATCACGTAGCAATATGACGTTCCCCACATAAAACATAATTCCATTCCATCAACCCAATTATCAATTATCCTAATGGAAATAAATGCATTACCATAATTAAGAACAGAAATTCAATTACCAGAGTTCGCAACAAGTGTCCAATATCGAAGCTAACCAGTCCAGGGTCCACCCCATAGCGAGCAAGCTATTGAGGGGGGGGGGGGGGGTTGATGGAGGGGTCTCGCAGTGTCAGCCGATCCGAAAAGAATTAATTACAAAGTTAATACTTTTCCTAGCTGCGAACCGGAATGTGCACACTACTTTTCCATCGACTTCGGACCGGACTCTGCGAGTTCATCAACCGAAAAAGTGCAGACTAACTGCAGCAATAGCCGTAGCAGAGCAGTCAGCAGCACGCGTACAGCCCGAATGCATACCGAGAAGAAAACTTAATTATCTGAAATGACTGTTGAAATTGGAACTCGGTGTCGAAGTTTTCCCCTATTGGCCTCTCTTTCACCACGCTTTGTCTTTTATCAGCGCCAAGTGCAACTTGCATAACCTTGCATTCTTGCTTAATTATACCCCGGCATAAAGCTCGATTCCCGTAGCATCTGCTTTTGGCAATCAAAACTATAATATGCATAAAATCGCCTATTCTCTCATCATACAAAAAAAAACAAAAATCAATCGCTTGCGGCTGTTCTGGTTGAGAACTGAAAAAAAAAATCCAATATTTTTGTATTTCCTTCATTCCTTCACACTTGGCTTAGCTGCTACCTAACAGCATTGAAATTGACATGCAATTTGTTACTGATTGATAAATTGTGTTTCGATACGTTTCGCTTATTTTTCTATTCACCTTGCGGGCGGTTTTGCGTTGTTGTTGTTGTTGTTGTTGTTGTCGTCCTGAGCTGGCTTCGTTTTCGTCATGTCGATGGCTCGTGGTATGCCTTCCGATTGCCGGTATGAATTTGGTTAACGGGAAATTTACATTCATAAAAGTTCATTTCTCCCGGTATGGAGGGTTACTGAACCTATTCTTGGCGTGGTGTTGAAAACCTGGAGTCTCGTTTGACATAGCGAAATTGAATAGAATTCGAAATAGGAACAGTCAATCAAGGGCGTAGCTAGCTTTTGAAATAGCGGGGGCAAAAATGTGTTGCTGATGATGCCAACAGGCTGAACGACATTGGACCGAACGCTATCGTATCGAATGTGACTAGGCCGTAGTAGTCACATGGTTAAATTAGTAATAATACTGGAATTGAAACTTCTGACAAACTGCATAACTATTTTTCAAATTGGCATGGTGACCAGCAAATTACGATTAGTAATTCTCTGGATTTTTCCAGGCAGGGTGTGATTTATTTTGTTTATTAATATATTTTATAAGGCTCAACCGAATTAACTTTACAGAGCCGAGAATTCTTGTTCACTATACAATACATCTTAAAACTATCGTCAAAAGGTACAACACAATAAGCATTTTATCTTCCGCTATCTAAGAAGCCTCCTCCATTAGAACGGCAGCCGCTTCCAGTGGTTTCATTGTATGGCAGATTCGTCAACGGGGTCAGAGCGCTTCCATTGCAGCAATGGACGGAAAACGTGGTCAGCACTCACACATTCATCACGAAACGATTGCTTTCCAAAGTCGACGACGCATCGACCGAAAGAACTGCTGATGAAGAACAATGAGGAGGACCACACAATGGTTGCTGCCGAGTAAACAGACGATCGCGTTAAACACATCGAGAGTGGTCTGCTTCTGTCGACAGTCGAGTGAACACTGATTTTTGTATTTATAATCATTAGTGTTAACCCCACAAATTTCCTAAATAGGTTTATCCTCAGCAAGAATAATGCTCAATCATACGACAGAACTGATGAAATGGGAAGTAGAAAAGTTTAGCTACACATGATTAAAAAAAAAGTAGAAGGGTCTGTGCCTAGGGGCACGAACGGAAGCTTGACGTAGGACCGCTTGTGGACGGACTAAATGTGAAGAGCATTTAGTTCTTTTAATTGATCAATTATCTATTATCTCAACTCTTTCCGGTTTTGAATTGTAGGCGTACCAAATTTGTAGTATTTTTTTTTCAAAGAGAAAGTTGATTAAGAGAATCAATCAAAATCACTTGCACCCCTGCTTCCAAATTTGGTTACAAGATTACAACTCTCGAGAGCATTTTGTGTGGTCGTTGGGGGCTTGTGGTTCTGAATATGGACAAACAAGCGCAGATAAATAAACTCGTAGATCAGACCGGAACATACCTGATCCCACCTTCCTTCGATGAAAAGCCGTTGGTCCCCTGTTCATGAGTTGATGGGTCGATATGTAGGGTCCAGATGTGGGAGCTGCCTCCCTGGCGTCGGTAGCATTGGAGCTTAGTACGGAAAACAAATCTCGCGTCACTTTTCAATAGGTCCTATCTACATTGATCGATTCTCTGCATCGACACTCTCTTTCGTAAATAACTCGGCTTCACAAATGTTTCCTGCCGTCTTCGTCGAATTATTTAGATGCTAGATTGTTGCTTCTTCCATCGAAAATATCCGGCCATGGCGATTCAAAGTTGATCAAGGTTGATCAAAATAATGTGTACCCCTAATTCCAGTTTGATTACATGAGCATTTTGTGTGGTCGTTGGTTCTGAATATGGACAACAGGCAGATGAATTCTATTCTTACTCTTTACTGTAATAAGGTTGGTGGCCCTGAAAAGAGCCGTTTTGTTGCCAAAGTTGGTGATGATTTAACCTCCGAAACCAAACAGAGTGTCTCTCTGTCACTTCAAAACGTAGATGACATCTATGGCCGCTTAGTGTTCAGTGTAGGTGACAGCATCACGGATCTCATTTTTCAGGAACATCTTCAGCACACCTTGTAAATCAGACCTGAGATACGTCAGACACCGCCACGGCGAGCCAGACGACGGATGATAATTATCTCGAAGAATTTGCGTTTGGTTCTGAATATGGCGATGAGGATCGGAGGCGAATGCCACTTCGACTTGTTTCGTCTACTTACTACTCTTTGACGACTGTGCTGGGGAAGCAGCATATGCATGTAGGTAATTGGTGGATTTGTTAGTTAATTCGACGCTTTTGGACAATGCTGGACATTTACCATTTTTACAATAGTTTCTTGTTGAAAATCAACATTCAAAAGCATTGTTATCGATGCGTAGCCATATTTCTGATCGATTAGTGATAAAATTATTAAAATTGGACCAGGGGCAGCTGAGTTATTAACGTTCAAAATCTTTCTTAATTTGTTACATGTTCCATTTTCGGTTTTCACAAAGTGTACCCCCATATAGAAATCAAAGACGTAGTCCTACGTCAAAAAATAACTTTTTTGCGTGATGGAATTAATGTATACCTGAGTACTGCGGACTCACTCAAATTGATTGTCAACTGGCAGCCAGTGTGAACTGTCAAAC